TGGGTGGGTGAGGGGGGGTAAATAAGCCTAGAAGTGGTGATGCGTGGACCGTTGTGACTGTGTACTGTTTAAAAAGCACAGGCACATAAAGAGCTGACAGACAGTACCACAGGTGTCCACTGGTCAGTGAAGGCAGCGCTCGTCCTCAGTGTTGCTGTTCCTCTGACTGCCACAAGTGTCTGCTCTGCTCGTCCCCTCCCTCTCTCCCTCCCCCTTAAAGAAAGCTACGGTGATACAGCAGTGGGTGAGACACAGTGGCACAGAATGAAGAGACTGACTGAACGAGGACAGCGTCTGAGTGGTCAAAGGTCAAAGGTCAAAGACGTTTTTCTTTTTACATCGGAACTTCCTCCTCCATCGGCTCCTCTTCAGCTCTGCAGAGAAGATAACGTGATCAATCGATTCGATCAGTCAATCAATCAATGAGGTGTTTCCACCCTGTTAGCGTTAGCGCAGGTCTACACACAAATATATATATATGGATATATATATATGGATCAAACATATATACATATACATATATACATATGTGAATGTATATAAATATATAAGTAAATATATATATATTTCAATATATATAAAAATATATATATATAAATATATATTGAAAATATATATATATAAATAAATATATATTGAAATATATATAATTACATATATTTATATACATACACATATGTAGAGTATACATATATATACATATATACACACAAACATATATACATATACATATATATGTCCATATATATATATATATATTTTGCAGCCGAGGCCCGTTCCTCACAGCCTACCTCTTTCCCATGTGTTTGTTGGCGACAGACAACGAGGCCATGGCTGAAACGGTTTCAGCCTCGTCTGCGTCACAGCGGAGAGCTTCACTCAACGAGCAGCCCACAGTGGAGGCCAAGCGCCGCAGAGAACGCCAGTATTTACCTACAGAAGACGAAAAGAAAATGAAAGAAAATTAAGACTCCTTAAAAATTAAAAAAAAGACTGTGTACTGTTTAAAAAGCACAGGCACATAAAGAGCTGACAGACAGTACCACAGGTGTCCACTGGTCAGTGAAGGCAGCGCTCGTCCTCAGTGTTGCTGTTCCTCTGACTGCCACAAGTGTCTGCTCTGCTCGTCCCCTCCCTCTCTCCCTCCCCCTTAAAGAAAGCTACGGTGATACAGCAGTGGGTGAGACACAGTGGCACAGAATGAAGAGACTGACTGAACGAGGACAGCGTCTGAGTGGTCAAAGGTCAAAGGTCAAAGACGTTTTTCTTTTTACATCGGAACTTCCTCCTCCATCGGCTCCTCTTCAGCTCTGCAGAGAAGATAACGTGATCAATCGATTCGATCAGTCAATCAATCAATGAGGTGTTTCCACCCTGTTAGCGTTAGCGCAGGTCTACACACAAATATATATATGGATATATATGTATACTGTACATATGTGAATGTATATAAATATATAAGTAAATATATATATATTTCAATATATATAAAAATATATATATATAAATATATATTGAAAATATATATATATAAATAAATATATATTGAAATATATATAATTACATATATTTATATACATACACATATGTAGAGTATACATATATATACATATATACACACAAACATATATACATATACATATATATGTCCATATATATATATATATATTTTGCAGCCGAGGCCCGTTCCTCACAGCCTACCTCTTTCCCATGTGTTTGTTGGCGACAGACAACGAGGCCATGGCTGAAACGGTTTCAGCCTCGTCTGCGTCACAGCGGAGAGCTTCACTCAACGAGCAGCCCACAGTGGAGGCCAAGCGCCGCAGAGAACGCCAGTATTTACCTACAGAAGACGAAAAGAAAATGAAAGAAAATTAAGACTCCTTAAAAATTAAAAAAAAAAGCATGAATTTCTATTTCTGTTTCCAGGAACCGCTGGACTTTAACTGTTGTCACATGAGTTTAATGAGTCCATGTGACGCAGTGACAGCTTTTCAAATAAATGTAACCGTCACTCGTGTCAGCTCCATCCTGGTGTCGAGGACTGAAGTCTGAAGTCACTCACTCTGAATTTCAATCACATGTTCCATGGAGTGGACGGCGTTGGCGTTCGGTCTCTGCTTCAACACCTCGTCAGGAATGGGATCCAACTGCAAAAACAAAATATCAACAAATACGTCAGGAACTGGAAGGAAGTGCTGTAATGTGGTGCTATGCTGTATATAAACAGACGGTGGCGCTGAAACACCAGCAGAAAATACCCGTGCCTGTCGTAGCTAACGTTAGCGCTGGTGTCTGTGGCGGGACGTTCGGAGCTAATGGATGCATCATCTGCATTTTTATTTATTTATTTATTTTAAACATTGACATCCACACACTGAAGTGTGTCTCAGACTCTGCCCTCCCCCTCCCCAGTGTGATCCTAGTCTCAGACTCTGTTCCATCTGAACATCAGTTCCTAACACTGGAACAGAGGGATCTACATTTGGAATCACTAGAGAAGAAAGAAAAGAACAAGAACATGAACCAACACCAGGAATATTGGACTGGGAATTGATGAAGAAAAAATAATAATAATAACTGATGACTGATGAGATTGATACGGGATCAGGAAATAGAAATATCGCGATATTTCAGTGTATGGATATTTGTATCTTACAGCCCTGATACCCACATATTTATCGTTTTTCTGTATTTCTAACCGTGCCTGGTGTCTGCTGGTGTTTGGACCTTTAGTCTCTTCAGTGAGGGAGAACAGAGGTGTCCTCGGAGGGCTGTTTGCCGTACTGGTGTTGACAGATTTCTATCTCTCTGCGTGACGCGCTCGTCCAGTGCACAAAGTGCGGGCCAGTGAAGCTGAGACACCGTGAAAATCCACGGGCTGA